CGCATTAACGTATAAACATGTCATCATTTCTATAAGATGAAACATATATTATTGAAGAAAAATAGGAAATGGATTAATAAAATTAATAGACTTATACTCGGCGAATATAGATTTGAATAGAATATGAATTTAATCCTGATAATTCAATACAAACTTGACATAATACGTATAAACGGTGTATCACAATTTCTATTTATATTTATTTATGAGAATTTATAGAATTTATATTTATAATTGAAGAAAAATAAGAAATTGACTAATAAGATTTATAGACTTATACTCGGTGGAACAAAGTTTAGAAAATTATTAAAATTAATCATTATGTTGGAAGATTAATTGTTTCGTGGTATTAAAATGTATTTAAAGCAAATACCATCAGTAATGTTTTGATAAGTAGAGATAATAATGAATAAGAATTTGAATATTGATATATTTTAATGATTCGTGCTATACGAAGAATGCAAAAATACTGATAATTGAATCGATTTATTTAATAAAAATTTAAAAATATATTAATAAGAAATTAATATGATTTATAAATATATTTTTTATTAATTTAAAAAAAATTGAAAATAAAAGATTAAAGTTATTATTACTATCATATTATTATATGTCTTATTATATTATTTAGAAATATTTTTTAGAAATAGATCCAAATTTCGTTTTTAGATTCACGAAATTTGAATTTAATACATTGTGAGATTAAAATTTTTTTTTTCTTAAAATTTTTATTTTATCAAGAATTGAGTAAAAATTTTTGATTTCTAAAACACTTTAAATTTAAGTTTTATACATAGTCAATTATTACAGTCAATTAACAATAATTATTTGTATTTATTTTATTTAATTTAATTTGTTAAAAAATTTATTTAATTTAATTTATTAAAAATTAAATTTTCAAGTTTCACTTTTTCACCATTATAAATTATTATAATTATGAATATATTAAAATTAATTAGTTATTATTAAGCTAAACACGAGTTCAATTAAATTATCATTGATTTAATTAATTAATAAAAAAAAAAGTTTCGAATCGCAAAAATAATAAAAAGTTTCGAGATTCAAAAACTCGAAACTTGTTGAGCCTTGAAGAGTTTCGAGGTTTCGAAGTTTCGATTATCCCATCCTTAACATTTTTAGCCCATCTATTGTTTCGATAATTCTGATAAAAGATCCTCGTTTATTCGGGACATTCGATTAACATCACAATTCAGACAGCAATATATAAGGCGTCTTATAAAACTGGAAACAAGTTTTTCCAAATGATTGGAGATAAAAAAAATGTTGTATATTAAAATTAAATAATATTCAACGAAACATAATAGTTTAAGGTATTTTAGAAATCAAGATTTTTATTTTAGATAGAATAACAATTTTAAAAAAAGAAGAAAATTTAAATCTCACAATATATCGAATTCGAATTTCATGAATTGAAAAATCCAATTTCGATCTATTTTTCAAAAATATTTCTAAAAAATATAATAAGACATAGATATAATTTTATGCATATATAATAATATAATAATATAGTAATATATATGGTAATTATTATATAATATAATTATATAACTACATTGATATATCTGGAAAATGTAATTATATATATTTTCTTGTTAGAAGATATCTAATAACGTATTCGATTAGAAACATAAAAAATTATGAAAAGAAATAAGAAACATGCTAAGTAAAAATTAAAAAAAGAATGGAATAATATTTAAATCGTAATGACAGACTGTTCAAATATTTGTTATAACGTAACCAATCCGTAATATATGTAGGATCTCAAATAATTTAACAATTTTTTAACTGTAATATATTTTTTCATAAACATTAAAATATTGTATCGATTGGTCCTCAATCGAAATTATAAGATTTTATTTAAAAAAAAATGCAATTGTATTTTCCAGTCGAATCAATACACAAAACTATTTTCGATTATATCCAGATTAAATTTCATTGAATATTATTTAATTTTGATTTATTATATTTTGAAAACTCTCTATATGTAGCCTTCTTTTGTAAAACTCCCGTTCTAGAATTATCTATAATAGAAAGAGTGTAATTCGCGTGACCATGGCCATGTCGAGACGTTTTTTTCATGAACGAAGGAAAAAGATTCGCGGTTTTCGTCGATTACCAATGAAATATCATTTATCTGATCCGAGGGGGTGGTTCAAGTCACGCATCGAGACTGTTTAGGTAATAGTCACTTGGCAACGTGATCGATTTGTAAGATTAAAGTTATGCCTTGTCTTATCGATCGATCGTTTTGTGACGGCACGATGCGATGGTGAAATGCCGGAACACTGGATAAATTGGCGCGACAAAGGTGGTAATAGCAGTTTCGAATGATCTCAAGAGTGTGAAGCATTCGGTAGATTAGATCGATATTCGTTCAGCCTCTTATTAGTGACAGCGAAGAAAGAATTATCGAGGAGAAATAAAAATGAAATGATCGGTTTTTTGGTCCATTCGTCGTATCAATTGAACGTAATGGCAAGGGAAAATTGAGAATAATGCTGTTTCATAATACACGTTCGTTCGTTGTGTTCGTTCAATTATTTTATAATCGAATTATCGGGGGAGAACGAACTGTTCGTTTAGACTTGTTACCGAAATGCTATAAATCGAATCAACGATCCTCTTGTTTGTCTTTCGCTCTTGAAATTTTAGTTTTAATCGATTGGTCGATTACTGTGATATAACTTCATTTAATATATTATGAAATACAATATTAGAGACCATATATTATAATTTATATTATATATAAATAAAATTTATACATATGAAATTAATTATATATATATAAGTATATATATAATATATATTATATATATAATGTATTAATTAATTTTTTATATATGTTATTTGTTATATATTTTACATATATTACATATATTGTTATATATTATTTTTATTTATAACTTTATTTATATTTATTTTTATTTATTATTTTTTTATTAATATTTTATTATAATATATTATATTATATTTTTTTTATATTGCTTAGAATTTAATATTTTTAATATTGCTATTAAATTAATATTATGAAAATATTATGTGATTATAATTCCATCAAATATATATTATATATATTATATATCATAATATATATATTAAAAACATTCTAAATAAAAATAAAAATATATCTATAAAAATTATAAATTTCGATTAATTTCATTCCAATAACAGAGGTAATAAGATTATATATATTATGAATTTAATCGAAATTTTTGAACTATGAAAATGTTGGTCTTAACCTGCGAAATTGTTTTTCTTTGTTCCTCTATTGAAGATAACTAAAAGTTCTATGAATAATGTGTTTCGCCTGAAGTTTGACGCATGAATATTTTTGGTATATTTTACTCGAGAGAAGTTTTCAAAATTTGGGATTGTACTTTGGACGATTACTTTTCCAATGCGATTATATCTTTGGTAAAAAATGTACCAAATAAAAAAATATAAATTATTATTTTATACTCCTTTCTATTTCATAAAAATTTTATTTTTATTCTTACTTGAAGTTAAATTTATCAAAACATGTATATATATATTGCAACAATTTATATAAAATTTATTTTAATTTTTCTAAATGTTTTTAGAAAGAAATTTAAAAATTTTTACGAATTGAAATTTATTATTATTAAATAATAACTTAATTAATAATTTTTGTGATTAAATTTAATTTTTGTTTTCATTTATAACAATTAATATAAATGAAATTTTTCATTTAAGGAATCATTGAATGCAATTAATATTATAATGAGGATGAACTTCTCATTAAATAACGATGTCTATAGAAATAATTGATGAGAGCTTTGTCTTGTAATTACTAGCTAGACGTAGTATTCCTACAGCTAATTATTTAAATGATAGAAAATTTTGACAATAAATGATGAAGTCGTGCAGCTGTGCTTTGGATTAATAATTTCATTCTTGAGAGACGAATATTAATTTATTAACGATTCAATGTTATTATAATAAAAAATGAAACAAAATTTGTACAATAATATAATATAATATTTGAACAATATTAAAAATTGTTATATTATTACGAAGAAAGATTGTTTAATTATTATTATTAATATAAATTAAATTATTGCAATTATTCTTAAATTTTTCTCATTTGTTTTGCGTAATTAAATAATTAAATATACTTACTAAAATTTTTTGTAAAAGTAATTTTAATTCAATTTTGTTAAAAAGGTATTTATAATATTTTTTTATTATAATTGAAAATTACAAGATTTTTATAAATTTATAAAAGTCATTACAAAATTAATTTGTTTAATTTTTGATCAAGAAAAATAATTTTATTTTCTCTTTGATAATATTTAATTTGTTATCAAAGATTCTTGTATTATATTTTTTACTATTGGAAAATATTAACAATAAATAAATACATTTTTCATACATTAATTTTCTCGACATATAGAATTATTAAAATAATTTTAATGATATATAATATTTGTAGATTAAAAATATGTGTTCATTTGAAAATAAAACTATCATGAGTTTCTGTAAGAGATGTTATTTATCGTAAATTGATGAAAAATAACTGGCAAAAATACCATTCAAATGTCTGAGAGAATATCTAAAATTCTCTAAATAGCTTTCAAATAGAAATTAATATGACTAATATGACTATCGAATAGTCTTCATAATTCGAAATAGTTTCATATTCTGAAAATTAAAGTCAATCAAATTGATGAAGAGATAAATATAAATAGCTTGAAATTACAGTAAGGCAACAATCAAAGAAATAGCAAAAAATAGATATAAATCTATTTCTAATAGATACAATTTTCAGAGTTCTATCTATTATCTATTTGTAATAAAAATTTCGAAAATTTGCTTTCAAATAGATGTATAATTTGAGAATATACCAGAGTAATTGTGAAAATAAATCTCAGATGAAAAATTCATTTCAATTAATATACTTAACAATTAATCTAATATTGAAACACAGCAAAAACATTTTCCTTAACATATAGCATCACGTGGTTCGAAAGAGTGAGCATGATGGTAATTCTTTTAAACTGCATTACATTGGGGATGTACCAGCCATGCGTCGATGACCAGTGTGTAACAAATCGCTGTAAAATATTACAAGTACGTATATTACAAGCATATATTTATTATTCTATATATCAATTTTAATTATAATTATATATAATATATTAATATTATTTAGGGATTAAAACAAATGTTAATATAAAATGTTAATTGAAACCTATTTATTAAATTATAAGTAATTAATTTTGCATTAGATGGAATGAGACAAAATGCGACAATAGTGAAACTGAGACAGATTGATTTCAATATGCGTTTCGTTTTAATGCATATAATAAATTAATAAATAAGTCTCAATTGATATTTTTATATATATCAACTTTTGTTTTGATCTCTAGAATTCTTTAAGTATCTTGTAAATATATTAACACCTTGTATACAGAGTGCCTCACTTCATTTTGAGAAATAAGAAATATTCGCTTTTCTTATTTTTATCATGCAAAGTTTTACAAAATTTAAAAATATCTGCTAAACCAATAATTTTTAAGCATATATAAGTTAATGTTTTTTTTTATAATGAATATCGAATTGTATTGATCGATGTATTAAAAAATATTTAATTTTATTCCAAAAAAAAAATTTAATTCTATTCCAAAAAAAAAATAAAGTTGATGCAACTTTGTACATTAAAAAGAATTAATAAAAATACCGTGATATGCATTTCTTTATATTATTCAATTTTTATCTGAAATATTTTTTATTATAAATAATAACATTAACAATCAATATGTCAAAATCAAATGAGATATCCTGTATATTTACCGTTTTCCAATCTATTCATATGTTCGAATTTATTTCGTTTAAGCTCAAGTCTTTCTCGAGCCTAGATTAACATTTAAACTTGCACGAGATGTGACAATAAAGTTTCGAGAATAATTCTGTTTCTGTCGAACTTATAACAGTGTAGACAATTACATCCATCTTGATCACCTCTCTACCGGTATGCAAGAGATATGCATTGTCGACTGTTTTAACTAACTTATACATTGTGCGAGTTAGTTTCCATATTGAATGTTACGTGAAAAATAAAATTACGAATTTAGAGCAAAGAGCGATAGGAGAAATTTAGTTGAAAAATGGTGAATCATCAATGGGGAGTTTTATGAAAAATTGGCCAGGGTTTATGGAAATGATACTACGTTGAAACCACGCGTTTTTCATCGGGTAGAATAGTTTCAAGAGGAATGTCAATCTGTCGAAGATGTTGGCGTTCAGGTCGCTCTTCCATAACTCGGCTTGCCATTCCTTTGGAAGAATTTTTAAATTTAAAATCGATCACAATGCTCTACTATCCCGTATCTATATTCGCATGATTTTCCACTTTATAAATCTTCTTTTTTTTTTTTTATTTCCTTGAATAAAAGAAGTTATGGAAGGAATGCACTTTCAATAAGTTTTTTGAAATTTGAACTATGCAATAGACGTTATACGATAGATAATAAAAAATGAAGTATTAGAAATATCGCGAATAATGGATCTTATCGTTGTAATACAGTCACATTTTTCATAAATTTTTCTTGAATTCAACTAATAAGTTATGTTATCTATAATAATCTAAAATCTATAATAATAGCTATAATATAATAATAATAATTTGATTTTATATGGAACATTGTGAGTAAATTATAATTATATATGGAACAATTTTTTTATTAATGAAATTTTACTTCGTGATAAAATCAACTCTTAAACTTTTAATATTTCGTTTTTATAACTTTGTATGAGAAAGAACAAAATTTTAAACTATAAAATATTCAGATTCTAATGTTCTATAATTCTGTTATATAAAATATTTCTATAAAATATTAGAAAATAAATTATCCTATCTATACTCACTACACTTTATATACACAAAATTTTCGTAAAAATCAGATTTTTCAAAATAAGTGAATTTCCTTGTAAGATAGTGTGATCAAGATTTTTGTGATTCTTTCATATCAGGGAATAGAAAAATGAAAGATGAAGAACTCAAACTTATTTTCAATTTTGAATAAATTTTTTTCTAATGTTTCAGATTAAATTTATAAAATTACAAAATTTAATATCTATCGAATGAATTATTTTTAATATATTGTAAAAATTTTTATGTTTTACTTTTTATCTTTATTATCATTGCTTATTGTTTCATTTGTTTGAATATATTTTTTTAATTTAGTTAATTATAAATTTACTAATATTCTAGCATTAATGTTTACAAAATGATACAATGAGCAAATAAAATATTCAATTATTTGCTAAACAAAAATTAAATTATTATTAAATTAAATTATTGAAAAATACACAAAATGAATGAAAATATTTGTTTTTATATCCTATACTCTATTTATATCCTATATTTACAATTGTACAATTTTTAGAATAAAATTTTTATTCAAATTATTTTCATATTTGAAATCATATTGTCACATCTCATTGTTACAGTAGTTTGTAAAATACTTATTATACTTTATTTTTTTTTATTACTATACTATATTTATTGTTAATTACGAATATATTGAATAAAGATGAATGTGAAACGCAATAGCTAAGTGACTTTTGTATACTCATTTTCATTTTTCGTGATGTTCGAATTTAACGAAACGAAAAAATTGCAATTACAACTCCCGTACAACTCATGAATTATAGATTTTTGCATTTTAAATTGCGATGATATCCTCTTTCTCTTTTATTCTTTTTATGTCATGATGCGCGATCGATTGCGTTGAATAATTTTAATTAGTGATACGATTTAATTACTAATTACTAACTCATGTCTAAAATGTATATATATATAATTTGCCAAGTTATTAATCCGTTTTTTCGTTTTGGATTTGGTCTATCTATGTATTTTTTATTGTTATTATTTTCTACATATTTATATGTGATGTTAAAAAAATCTTGTTATAAATCTTATTCATAAAAAAATATTTTCTTATTTTTTATATAAATAAGAAGATATTCGTATTGTTTAGATTTTTTATAGATATTTTGATAAGATGTATTTGCCTTAAGTATTATTAATTATTTTGGGAAGCATATCTGAAATAAAGAATATTTAGAATATAAAATATTTTATTTTCGAATAATCGATATTTTACACAATCTTTTGCAATCTATTTAATAATAATAATTCTTTTGAAGTTTAAAATATTTTTTATTTTTAAATTATAGAAATTATGCAAATTAATGGCAAATTATAGATGAAAATAAAGTTTGACTTTACATTTATTTGTATTTATTTTCTTGTAACTAAAAATACGTATGAATTTATGAATTAATCTGATATAACAGCTAAAAGATTGTTGTATTCAAAATAGTGATTAATACGACACATATTAAATATTACTTTTTTTATGATATTTAACTGAAAGAGAATATTGATATTTAAAGTATTAGAATTACAAAATAACTTTTTGTTCATTTGAAAATATAAAAAAATACATTGTAATGATAATCTATATATTTCAAAAATGATGATCAAAAATTTAACTTTTTAAGTTCAACTTTTAAATCTGAAAATTAAAAATTAAATCAATATATAAATTATTTATTATTTTAAAACATATTGTTCAAGTATAATATTTTTTGTTAAAACTGCATTTATATTTAAGTAACTTTTGATAAATCAAATAAATTAGTCAATCTCAAGCCATTTAAAATTATGTGTGTAAATTGAACATCAATTGTATAAAATAAAGAACTGAAATTGAGCAATTTTATTGGTAATTTGTTTATCTTTATCAAAAAAAATAATATTATTATTTATTAAAAAAAAGAATTTATTGAAAAAAATTTAAAATCACATTTGAATAAAAGAATTTATACATTTAATTATTGTAAAAAAAAATTGCACACTTTGGAAATGAGTATTAATAACAAATACAACATTGGAATTTAAAAGATTAAAATAAAGAAATTACGCTGAGATTAAATTTATATCATTTACTCGATTCTTAAATAAAATTTCAATTTTCTTTAAAAAATATATCGAATTTTAAATAAAATACACATAAAAAATTTGAATTTTATTTAAAAATACACCGAACTAATCTATATTTATCTCCTAAAATATCTTCAAAAATAGTGAAACTATTTTTTCTCGACTGAAAATAACGGATCGTCCTATTTTTTGTCTTCACTTTTATCCAAAAGTATAAAAAAAGAAAAAAACGAAAAAGATTTCAGCTTTACAAAAAAAAAGAAGAAAAGAGAAAAAGAGAGAGAGAGAGAAGAAAAGAGGCAAAAGGAAAAGGAAGAAAAAAAGAAGGTCGAAAGAAAGTTTTCTCTTTTCCTTTCAAAGCTCCATAAAAAAATATATAGATATCAAAGTCGTGGCGCCAGGGGATTGATTAATTGCACTGTTTGTCCTGCTTTTCACGTTCGGCTTTACACGTCGAGGAGAAAGGGGTGGCAAACACGATTGAGCTGCAGTTGGTGGTTCGACAGTTAATGGAACTCGCTGTTCTAGTGTCCTTGATCAATTATGTCCGCATGATTAGGTTAAACGTGTTCCCGTCTAATCGGTCTTCTTGCTCTTTCGGCTTACAGATGTTCGATGACATCATTTTCGCCTTTTTCTCCCTGGAGATGACAATCAAAATGGTCGCTATGGGCATTTACGGGAAAGGAACGTATCTCGCTGATTCTTGGAATAGATTGGATTTCTTTATAGTAATTGCTGGGTAAGTGCTTTTTAATTCTCTTGTTTAGGAATTTATCATATATATAATTTGCAATGTATATAAAGTTATTGACGAAAGTTAAGAAACAAATTAATCGTTGACAAATTTTTATATATATATTTTTTTAATTTGATTTTTATGCAAGTATATTTGAAAAAAAGATTACATATATTGATATGGATTATTATATGCCTGTTATTTTTAATTATAATTTATATTAATGATATTAGAAATCTAAATAAATTTGCAAGTGATTAATTTTATTAGTAAATGTATGTGTATATATATATATTGTTTTTTTTTTAATGTTGTTTGCAGTAAATCTTTTTGAGACTTTATCAGATATTGCGCAATAAATAGAATCCTTATTAAAATTTATTTACATTATATAGAATAAATTATTTAATTCTGAACTTATTTATAAATTATTTGTAATATAAAAATATATTTCAAAGAAAAGTTTTTTGATATTAAAGACGGTGTACAATAATTAGTTTTTTTTTATATTTCGTTTTTTGGAAGAATGAATAAAGGAATGAAGTTTATTTTATTTTTTGAATATAATGCATAGTATATGAATATATAATTCTAAATGTTGGTTAAAAAATTTTTTGATTTAAATAATGTTCTAAATGTCAAAGAAATTTTTGTATGAAACATTTTTTTATACAATAAATAATTTACGAGTAAATTTAGTTGAAACAATGAAATGACTCATTTTATATTACATTATTTAATTAATGTTGATCGATCATATTAATTAAACGAAATTTGAATTTAAAATTTGCAATTATTAATTATGCAATTTGCAATTATTAATTTCATTATAGAGCTTGCATTTCTTTCAATATTCAATAGATGAATATTCGTCTAAAAAAATTAAATAAATAAAATAAATAGAATTGTTTTCTATATATTATATTTTATATAAAAAGAATATGAGAAAATTATAATTATTTAAATTAATTTTAATAATTAATATAATACATAATTTAATAAATACTATTATGATTATGAATAAATATTTAAGGAAAAATATGAAATATTTAAATATTATTTTTATAAATGTTATTTTTAATTCAATATATATTTTTCATGAGTTTTTCTGTTTATAAATAACATTCAATTCATAATTATGAATTTTTGTTTTTAATAATTAATAAATGTTAAATATTCTTAATAATAATATAGGATAGAATTTTTGAATAAATGTAAATTATTATCCAAAAGAATACAGGAATATATATAAATATATATATTGTTTTTATATTTATCATTGTAAAATATGAAATAATAATTCACAATGATAAATTTTTACTATGAATAGATATTTTCGTTTAAAAATCTATAATAGAATCGAATTTTTAAATAAAATTATTATTCAAATCAAAGAAAATATATTATTCTTATGACTATATTATTAACATATTATTTTTATTTGACTATAAACTGATGACATTTTATTATAAATATTGATAATATGTCTTTATCTGATAATAATTGAAATCATTCCATTAATACTATGTGTCTGAATAAATAGAATCTTATTCTACTTAGTTGAACTTGTTCAAGACAAACATTCATGATATAAACTTTATGTAATAGGAAGTCACCGATTCTTCCTATTACGTATGATTTCTTGTTTCAATAAGAGTTCACATTCAGATAAATGAATTTAATTGGATATAAACTAAAATTTCATTTCGATATAGTAGAATTCCATTAATCTATTTATTGGAATTGATTTTAATGTATTCACAGTTAATAATTTTACTGAGATTTTGAAATACACAATTACAAAGTTTTGCAATTATATGCAAAATTCAATTTACATTAATATTTAAATTTAAATGTAATTTATTTTGATAGGATTTGGTTTGATAATTTAGTGATTTTATTCAATAAAATTATATTATGTAATCATCAAATCTATTACAATTTATAATATATTTTTTAATATATTAATATATTTATTTAAAAATTTTTAAATTTTTAAAAGTACTTTTAAATTAATAAAGGGATTTTCAATTTAATTTAAAATAAAATATTTAATATTTAATATCTAAAAGATAAAGAATTATTATATTAACAAAATTATATTATAAAAAATAATTAAAAGTAATTTAGATAGCTGATATAATTAAAATTATACTGAATTATATTAAAAATTATTTTAATAAATATTAATAATAAATATAACTTTTTATTCAAATTTTATAAACAAAACATTTCTACATTAGAATATAAAATTTTAATGTTCATTTCTTAAATTTTATTTTACAATAATTGATTTATTTAACATTATGATTTCATATCACGAGTAATATGATATTCAATTCGTTTTTTCATATACAAAATAATAAATTGCAAAATAGTAAATGCAATTCAAATAAATAGAGTTTTATTTTAGCTTTTTCAAAATTAAAATTTTTTTTAATTAAAAGTAACGAAAAATTGTTTCTATCAATTAATATATAGATATGATAAAAACATGTTTTTTAAAATAAAATATTGTAAAAAAATATTAATAAAAAAAATATAGTGTATTAAAATTTTAGATTGATTTTTCAGAAAAAAATATATTTGTTATTTAATATATAATACATAATATATATAATTTATATACATAATATATAAAATGTATTATGTACATGTAATTAAGGTTACTTCTTTCATTGACAATAAATCTTTTAAAATATAAGTGAATAAAAAAGATAAAAGAGAATAAAATTTGTTTTAAATGCTCGATTGTAAGATAAATGGGATACACTCATTTTTAAGTAATTTTTATTTTGACAAGTTGACGCGAAACTTTCGCGTAATTCCACGATTGCATTAAGCAACACGAAGGAAACACGGAAACATAGTTCGTGATAAGTTCTCTATGAAATAAAGTTTGCGATTGAACGATATTACGTGAATAATGTTAATTGTATGTGGATTCCATGCAAGTTCTTAGAAGCTCGTGAAATTGATAAAGCGCTATACATTTATTCAACTTTACGTAAGTAACTATGTTTACGAATCGTAGTATTTTCTCCCTTGAATTTCGTAATGAAAAAATAAAGCAAAAACGATGAAATATATATTTTATTTCTTTATCAATTAAATTTATTTTTGATAAATATATTTCGATAATAATTTGCAATTTTTTAAATATGATAATAGAAAAAATTGTAAATGTATATTTGCATATGTCTTCTACATTTATTTAAATACAGGATTTATTTAATACAGAATACATTTATTTATATAGCTAGGATATGATTTTACATGAAAAAAGAGTTGCAAATAATATCTTTTCTTGTTTTCATCAAATATGTCATTAAGTATATGAATTTGATTAATTATCGATTGGATTAAATAGATTATTAGTAAAAAATTATTTTATAAATGAAAAATAAAGAATAAAATATAATAAAAAAAATGATAAAAAAAATAATAAAATTTTACTACTTAAATCTTCGTCTTTTTAATAAAATTAAACATATATTGAAATTTGATCAAATATACTTATTGAATTTTCAAAATTTATTTTTTTGAAGATTTATTTTTAAATAAAAAAATTTTATCTTACATTTTTCGCTTATTTTTATATGTAAAATAATTTTTTTTACTAATAATTCATTTGTATCCAATCGAGAATTAGCCAAATTTACGCTTGACAAATTTTCAAACTCGATTTTCTCGAAAACGAAGCTTCAAACGAAAAAAATGTTATTCTTTTACGATCTACTTTTACATGTAGAATTATTTTCGGTTTTACTATCCATTTGCTTTCATTCTGCATATATACAACATACAATATAAAATATAATTTATATGATGTAAATTTGTTCTATATATTCATGTTATTATGTATTCATATTACATATAGTATTTGTAATATATAATATAAAGAAAATTAAAATTTATTTAATATAATTATTATTATTTATTTTAAATTATTATTATTATTATTTAAAAAATTTATTTGGTTTTTTAAAGTGAATATTATATACATTTTTTGGATGAATAATATCTTAAAAAATTAGAAAAATTATATAATTCCAAATATTTGAGTTGTAAAAAATTAATTATAATTATTTTATTAAATTACTAGTAATTCTAGTACATTTAAAAATTTATTAATATTTCTAATATTATCTTATACACACTATTGTTATATATATTTATTAATAATATTTATGTTATTTATTCAAGTTTAAATGATAAAAATACGTACATATTTACCATGTGGTTAAAATAATTTTATTATATTAATTTTTGAATAATTAGTGTGTCAAATAAATTTTTTTTCAATAAGAAAATTATAATTTCATTATTTAATATATCTACATTTACATTTACGATTTATATTTTTATTTACAATTTTGAAAATTGATATGTTTCAAGTGAAAAGTATTAAAGGATATGTAGTTTGAAATGTACGATTTATCGTTGGTTCATTGAGTTTTAACCTTTTCTCTGTTACTAAAATAGAATACAGACTTGAATCCGATAAATTTTTTTATATTCTTTTCATTTGTAGTAACTAAAAATGTATTTATGTAAGAAAATTAAATATATTTTATTGAACATATTCATTGTTAAAATATTTAATACAAAAATTTCACAAATATTTAATACAAAATTAAATATATTATATCATCTTAAATAGGGAATATTTTTATACTTATTTTTATACTTACTTATTGTTACTTATATATGGAATGTCTTACTTTAATCGATTATAAATCTAAAAATAATTTATAAAATATAATTGCAATAAAAAATTAAAAAAAACTTAATAAAAAACATTTAAAATATTGATCGAGAAATACATCTTATATACCAAGTTATGATTTAATTCCTTTTTAATGCATTCGAATTTTTCTTATAAATGATTGAAACATAAAAGATTGAAAATCGCTCAATGATATCTTGATGTGATATATTATTACATGATTTAACAAATTGAATTAAATTGAATTAATAAAGAGAATATTGAATTAAAAGAATAAAAAATGCAACTGAAAATCAAATTGTTTTTCTTGTAAAACATTTAACTAGAAATAGAATTATTGAAAACAAATGTTATTATGTAGGCATTGTATAGATGTACAGTTTACACGGTTCAAGAATGTAAGCGATTTATAAAACATATATATCGATATTAGATCGAGTTTGGACAAAATTTTTTGAAGCTATTAAAAATATTAAAAATTTATATTTAAAATAAATTCTTATAATGAAAGTGAATACTCAATGTATTGATAAAAATGAATATTTTAATTTATGAATATTTCTTTCTCTTTGATACAAATTTATAAATATAAAATTTAATATTGTGTCTTTAAGTACAAATATTGTTAAGATTACAAAAAATGAAATTTTGAGATTTTAAAAATATTGAATTGAATATGTGCCTAAATAAGAAATTAAAATTAAAATTATAAGATAAAAATATGGATGTACTATAATTAAATTTATTTAGTAAAAATTAAAATTAATTTAATTAAAAGAATATTTTAATTATAATAAAAATAAAAAATCTTCAAAATTTTTTTTGACTTCGATAGTTGTAATATTAGAAAATTGAAATTTATTAGAGTTTAAATAATTTAATAATCTAATATTTTAATTCTTTTTATGAATTTTATACTTTTTAGTTAGATTTATACATATTATGCATTATACAATTATTTACAAAGTCTCTGAAAGATACATCATCTTGTCTTTATCATTTTCGAATACAAAATTAAGCTTAAGCTTTGCTAATCTTTGAAAGTTCACATAGGGTCTCAATTCTCTATCGTGGCATTCCAAGCGTAATATCCACACATGCAGCTATCGTCGCATTTAAGCATAACATGCATTCTAACTCTATTTATTTTGCTCTTGGGACACAACAGTATTACTGTACAAGACATCGAATTGTTTCATTTGTTCCTTATTCAATTTTAAATATCTTGATACATGTTTTTATTGTTATGGTATACACATATTCCATTAGAAAATTTAATCCTTAGAATTATAAATGAAATAATTTGAGTTTTTGAATATATGATTGTAATTTTTCTTTTATAAATTCTTTTTTGTTAAACTATTTATTCTTTCTATTTTTAATTTTAATATTGAGAATACATTTAAAAATGTTAAATTTTAGAAAAATTCAATCTCATTTTAATCTTAATCTTATATATAAATATAAATATAAATATAAATATAATTTTTTGTGACCTTAAGAAATTGAAAAAAATGTTTTTACTTTTCAAAAAATAAAAGTGAAAAGATGTAAAGGAAGAAATTTTATTTAAAAATCATATATTATTATATTTTATTGTAATTACATGCTTATAAATATATAAAGTGAATTTTTTAAACTTGATTTTTTCAAAAATTAATTGTAAAAAAATTGTTTCTGTTTTTTTCTTATTATTTTTCATAACTAATAATAACTTACAATAATACTAAATATTATTATTTTTTCATAATTTAAAATTATAAGAATTAACAGTGAAAATAATAGTTTTTTAGATTTTTTATTGAATAAAAAATATAAGAAAATTTGTATAATATAATAAATAAATATATAATGTATAATATATAAAAATTATGTTTTCTTTTCGTACTTCTTTTTATTACATACACGCTTTCTTGCGGTCTATTCATTAAGCACTGAGATTTAATACTATTATCATAACTATCATAAACAAAAGTATGCCATTAATGGAATATATTTTAAACGTTTTGATGATTTTTCAAATTCATATCATTTTATTATAAATGTGCTAATATTTATAAACATAAATATATATTAAAATATTTTATATTTATTATAATAAAACTATCAGAAAATACAAAAAAAACTTATATTCAATTTTATTTCAGTGCCCTGGAATATTGTTTGAACGTAGAAAACATGAATTTATCGGCAATAAGAACAATAAGAGTCCTTAGACCTCTACGTGCCATCAACAGAATTCCAAGTGAGTATAAAAACTTAACGTCTAAAATTGCTGACTTTTCTACTTTTACGAGAAACAATTTCGTGATATGTACGTGTGTCAAGCAAAATCAATATTAACGAAATTTGTTTGTCTCGATTTTAAAATAAAATTTCGATCGAACAAAATGTATCGAATAAATTGTTTTATATATAAAAAAAAAAAAAAGAAAATATTTGTCGTTATATCGATTATGTACAAAATGAATTGAATTTGAAACAAAAAGGGGATGGTTCGTTCAAAAATAACTTGCAAAAAAACAAATAAAGTTTCATCGTATGAATTTTTATTTGTAAAAAAATTGATTTTTCTTGAAAACGTGTATTTGAGTATAAATTTTCTCTAATCTAATCTATATTGCTAAATTTCTTTCCTCTTGTTTATAGAGTGTTAAAAAAAGATTCATTTATAACATAATTTAAATCTTAAGCAAGAAATGAGAATTTTTTGTGTGTACATTTCTTTCTAATTATCATCTCTTTTTTCTTTTTTATTTTTTTTTAATAATTCTTAACATAATTTACAAGATTTAAATAATTTATAGATGTTTAAATTAGTTCTAACAACAATAAATTTAAGAATATTGAAAAAATAATGATACATATATACATATAAATAAATTAATTTTTATTTAAATTAATTTTTCAATGATATTGTTGGATCACAGATAATCAAAGTAGTTTAAATGAGATCAAATAAATTTCGACTATTTAATTTTAAAATAATATTAATTCATATATATTATATTAAGTTATTCAAAAAAATTAATTGAAAACTGAATATAAATAATATGAAATTTGTAATAGAGTTTTATTTTTTAATAAAATAATAATATAAAATTCTTTTCTTCAAAACTGATATTAAATGCAGTACATATAAAAAATAATTTTTAAATAAAATTTTCAATATTTTATTAATTTTTTTAAATTTTAATTTTGATTTTGATATATTTCTTTTTACTGGTTTTCGATTATTTTAGAACAAACTTATTAAATAAAAATTGTTTTAATATATATGTAACTCATTATATTATTATTATTACGATAAGAATTGAAAATTCTATGAAAAAACATTATTTATATTATGAACGATTTATTATTGATAAAAAATTGAAAAAAATTTGCATTATACATTGTGCTTTTATTAAACGTACAATTGATATTTTAAATAGTTTTTGCTTTTTATATCTTATTTTGAATTATATAGAATATTTGTTTTCGTTAAACAAAGTTGAATAAATTATTTATTCGTTTAAAAATTATTATATATATTATATTATTAATATGATAAACATAAGTTTAAAATTGATATACAATAAATATATACAATCTAAATTATATTATTTAGATTATTAAAATTTATTTAAAAAATATGTGTATCATTTATATACGTATATTTTTAAAATTATCAATATAAGTAATAACTACATCATGTTATGAGTCAAAAAATATTAAAAACTATATTCAGTATAATCTAGAAAAAAGATAAAATGCGAGAAATGTGCACAATATACAAGTAATATTTAATATGTAGAATAAAATATATTTTTTGAAATTATCAAATAACAAATTTCTATCTTGCTTCCATCTCTTTATATATTTTCCGCAAAAGTATACACATTTGCATAAACATCCGTACTCTACTTATTATTTTTTACAACTTTACAAACTTTACAAACTTGTTATCCGACTGTTCGCAGAAAAATATTTACCATGAAACTCTGATGACTCAACCAGACTTCGATGTTTTTCGAACGGTATTTTTCACGGTTGCAGTTGCGATTTCTTTAAATAAAGTCCTGCAGAAGTAAAGAGATTCGAATCATCCTTCCACCTTCGATCGAACTTATATTTTTTTTTCCCCTACTAGCTCGTGACTATTATATATAACAGGATATAATTCAATATAGATTTAGCATGAATGAACTTGAAACAAGATTTATTTCCGAACCATTCACATGAACGAATGAATCGATTTAAAATCGCAATACACCTTATCGCGATCTCTTATTTTTACACTTTCGAGCTTCATTCTTTTCCTCGCTGCGGATAACATTATTCCCTATCGACGCAAATAGAAAAATTCTTTATTTATTCAGTTCCTAACGACGTTATCACGGCGGAAAAGGAAAAAAAAAAAAGACTTCAATGTCGCGGTCTTTGTCATATTTTTTGTTACTTTTTTCCCCCGTTTCTCTACTTTCAACAGGTATGCGGATACTGGTGATGCTTTTACTCGACACTCTTCCTATGCTGGGCAACGTGCTGCTCCTATGTTTCTTCGTCTTCTTTATATTTGGTATTGTCGGCGTGCAACTATGGGAAGGTATTCTGCGTCAACGGTGCTTCCTGAAAGCTCTACCCAATGTCAAATATCCCGAGTAAGTGTTATACGAATCGATTCGTTCTCTGTTATGCTGTTCATTTATTGGTTCTTTAGGTATATGGTTATATTTGTTAAGACGATCAGAGTTCATCTGGTTCGTTTATTATTATGCTTTATCTCGCATCGATTCCGCATTTTCTTCTCTCTCTCTCTCTCTCTCTCTCTCCTATTTCTCTCATATTCTCTCTCTGCTTTTTCATCTTTGCCTTACTTCTTCTCGTTCCTCGCTTCTCTTTTTTGATCCGCTTTCTTCTCTTTCCTCTTCTCCTATGTAATCGTCGAGAGTCAACGTTAACACGCGCGTATACGCTAGGCTGCATTGCGTTTCTGAGATAAACGACGGCCGTACTCTATTTCCAGAAGATGGTGCAATACACGGATACGCGACTGGATAAGTATTAACTCACCCATCGAACGCGCACACGCGCATATCGAATTGCTCCTCGTTTTACGTTTTACTACTTTTCTCTTTCTCTCTCTCTCTCTTTTTTCTTTCGTACGACTTTCTTCATTTTACGTACTTTTCCACCTTTTACAAATTTTTCCAATTTTCGAGTTTTTAAACTTGTCGGAAATTTTTACAGATTTTACAGTCGTTTCGGGGATATTTTCGTTTTTCTTTTTCTTTTCGGTATGGATATGTAGAGTTGGAAAACTCGAAACTTTAAACTCAAAAATATTGATATTTTTTGAAACTTTTTACAGTTAATAAATAATAAGTTTCGTATAAATAATTTTAGAAAATATCGTCACGATATGAATTTATTTTTCATAATAATTAATAATTAAGTTTGTGTCAGAGAGTGACTTATTTTAATTGATACACACATTTATCGATCAATTATAATAGTTTATCCAATTAATCTATTGCATAATAGTCTTATTATCATTGCTTACTATAATTCTCATTGAAAAATTCCGAGAATCAATATTTTTTACTTTTTTTACTTTTATTATAAAGAATAATAAAATAAATAGAGAATTTCAAGATATTGCATAGTTTTGAATATTTAAAAATCAGGAAGTTTCGATCCATCTCTAATATATCTTTTTAATTTGAAATTAAACTTATTTCTTTAACACCGTGACAGTACCAAGTTTGATTTTGAGACAAGATATGTATAAGGTAATCGATGAAGTACTTTTACGCGAATATTATTCTTCGACCTTGTTTTATTTTTGGTTTAAATAGCGTCGCGTGTACTTACGGAATTTTCGTGACCAGTGGTGTCCTAGTTTATAGCGGAGATTCTCGAGAAGAATCTCACCGCTTCCGCGTGTAACATCCCCGGGAACGATCACGTTCGTTATCAGATATATTACATCCATCTTCTCTGTGCTCATTTATTTTCGGCTTTACATATACATATACGTGTATACCGATATCCATTCGTTGATACATTTACATGATATTCTTCGAATACTCGCATGGAGAATCTTCCAGAGTGCTAAGGGTTAATATATTTTTTTTTTCAAATACGATGTATTTCTATTTCTTTCAAGGATGAAAATTTTAATATCACACTTTGTTTTTCTATGTTCACTTCAATGATTTTGCAACAAGTTATTTCCAAATATTTTGTACAAAATTTTCTCGATTGTATTTGCGGTATTTTAAATAAAAATTAATTTTAAGGAGAAATTATTAGTTTTCAAGATTCCTTGACACGACAGTATTTGCCACGTAAAAGTTTCAATTAAGAAAAAAGTATACACAGGGTGTCTAAGTATAGGGAGGACTAAGGATAGAGGTTGATTTGATATGAGAAAAAAGAATAACTTTTTTGTTTTTGAGTGAATTAAATTTGAAAGTTTTCAAATGTAAATTGATTAATATCCAATACGAGTAGAAAGTCATTTTTGAAAATTGAAAATAAATATATATGTATATAGTAATCAAGTATTTTTAAATTCTAGAAATTTTTAGATTCGATTTCTTTCAAAAATTTAAACAATAAAATTTTATTCTACGTTTTTTATTTTCACATATGAAATTATCTTTCATCGATAATTATTACTCGAAAATTAATTTAATTTACATTTACTTGAAAACTTTTCATATTTGATTTACTCGAAAACATAGTCTTCTAAACGAACAAAATTTTATTCTTCTCTTTCGACTTATTTTTCCATTTACCGCTTATTCTATCCACCTCTGCAAGACATCCTGTATATCATAAAGATTCAAACGGACACCAGGTATATACGTGAGTGTATGTATCTCCTCTTTAAAAGAACGTTTCCGTACGGTTCGTTTTCATGCAGTATGCTGAAATGCATGGCGATATATAGCTCGAGTTGTCGTCGTAAGGTATCGCTTCGAGTAAATTGAAAGTTTTCTCTTCGCTGCCGATTTTCTTTCCGTGCTCGTTTCCGCACTTTTCTTTCTCTCTTTCTCTTTCTATCACACGACACATATTCTTTCTTCACCCTTCTTTGTGTCTCTGTAATTCCTTTTCACTTCACATTCCTCTATTCATGAAACTATCTCCCTCCCTCCGCCATAGGAATCACGTATGCAGTTTAGAATATTCGAATCGTTAACAGCGCGAATCCTCGAGAATTTTGATCGAAAATTTTCGCCTCGTGTTATTATATCTCGTTCATGTCCCCGAGCCATGAGGCGGAATTCATTTATACGTACGGTATATACGACGGTTGGACGAGAAACAGGGGGAATTGCTAATGAACGCGCAAACTATTTAAAAACGGAGCTGAAAACACACGCTCAGATGTTTCGCGTTCGCCGAGGTTACCGTTAAATGTTTTATAACCGCTTTCACGTGTTTCATTCCCGTGTTTAAATGGTTTTTATATCGACGCATTTTACAGGTTAGAACTGTTACTCTATACAGGGTGGTGAATGAAAACTAGGTTATTCCTTAACGTGACTTTCACTTAGAGAAGACGAGGGATAGTTGTCGCATTGTTTTATTATGATCTATCATTTTTTTTTTAAATCTAGAAGCTCTGTGAAATATAATATGAAAAAAATATATAATTTTTTCCAAATACAAAATAAATGTATAAAAATATTTATATAGGATGAATTTATTAACTTGAGAAAAATTCAAAATTATTTGTATTTATAAAAGATGTTTTATATAAAATGTTATTCTTGTTACAATTACATATATATTAGAAAGCTATATAATATTAGTTGTATTTTGTAACGATATATCAATATTTCTATCTTTAGTAATAAATACTTCTTTTCCTCTTTGGTCGTTACTCTGATGGATTGCATATGTAAGATTATCGATAATCCATATTCAGTCGGTAATAAAGTGCATACTATATATACCGAAGTTTAAACAAAAGATGAGAATATAATTTGATGTTATTAACTTTTCGCATATAGATATAGATATGATTCTATTAAAAGAAAATGAAGTTAATCTTTTTTTTCTTTATTTATTTTCTATATGTCAATTTATAGAAAATTAATAATATTAAATTATGTATCCTTTTATTAATTTTTTTTCATAGTAATTTATGAAAGTAATTTATGATATAATTTAAGTCGTTATATTTGGAAACATATTACAAATTTTCAAAAATTTTAAAGATACTTATTTATCATTTTATATTATAGTTATATATATTATAGTAATCGTTCAATATCAATACTTACTGAATATACTTTTTTCAATTCAATTCATATAATTTCATTGAATAAAATTAAATATTTTTATTTTCTTATAAAAATATCAATATTATACATATTCTATTAATTCGTGTTCTAAGTTTTATTACAAGAAAATTACTAAGATCAAAAGTTGTATATTATCGAGAATTTTGTTTTTCTTTTAGAATATTTTTCATGATTAATTTTAAAAACAATAAATTTTCCATATATTATTTTTTTCTTTTATCTATATAAAAATTTTGGTATATAACAATAATCATTTTTTTATAAATGTAAAAAAATATAAAAAAATATAAATAAAACTAAATTTAAAACTAAAATAGATAAGATAAGATAAAAAATTTATAAAAGTAATTATTAAAAATTTATTTAATAGTAAAAGAATTAATCAGTTTAAATTATTATCTAGTATAAAAGAATTTATAATATATACTTCTCATTTATTTATATGTATAGAAATAAATTAAATTTGAAAATTATTACGAAATTAAATAAATCTTTTAACAATTGTTATCTTCTTTGAAATTTCGAATTCCAAGGAATTTATATAAGAATTCCTCTCAATATTTAATATTTAATATTAAACAAAATATTTGATGCATGATAAAAATATTTAATATATTTATAAAACAATTAACTAATTAGATAAATTTTGTCATATATATAACTATCTATATATTTTTTTAAAATTAATTCAATAAAAGATTAATGAATTATAATGTTAAGTACATAATTTTTAATTCATTAATTTCTTATTATTTGAATAAGTAGTTATTTACAAATTTTTTACTTTTATCTATAGATATTTCCATTATTCATATAAAAAAATATTAATTAATTAATAATTTTTTTTAATCAATAATAGATAATGTTTTATAAATAAAATTAACAGTCTTAATATTTATGAACAGAAAATAAAATTAATATAAAATAATTTATTCAAAATCAAGTATAATATCAATTTTAATTTTTTTATGATATGCATCATTATGATAATCATTTTATTATAAAAATATTATTATAATTATAATATTATTAAAATATTATTATAAAAATATAAAAAATAAATAGATCAGATTATTATCATGCAGTAATATTAGTAAAGCTTTAAAAAAAATTATATTAAAAATATTATATTTAAAATTATATTTATTATATTTAAAAACTATTTTGATTTCAGTTTTTTGCAATCAAACTTCATCAATATGTTCTATAAATACAATAAAAAAAAATAAATATAAATTGTTCAAAGATTTATTGACAATTTCTAAAAAAATACGAAATATGATAATGTATTTGCTGCAATATTAAAAATAATATAACAATGATAAAAAATTAAATTTATT